TTTGGGGAGTCAGGAAGTGAGTTACTCAGCCAGCTTCCTGGTCTTTGAGCAACTCTTGTAGCCATTGTGTTTATTTAAGGTCAATTTAAGAATGAAATGCAGGGAAGCTCTGAAGAGGAATAGAAATAAAAGCTAACACTCTATCAGGTTGCACTTGAACCGGAAGGGGTCCAGTATCCTTGTGGGGGAGAGTTGCTAATGTTACCTGGGAGGGTTTAAACTAGTTTGGTAGGGGGCTGGGACTCTGAATAAGAGAGGGGCCATCAAGAAGTCAGGGAAAATGCATTTAGCCATCAAAAGCAAGTTTACTATTCAGGACAGCCAGGGGCATAGTAAAGGGAAGGAAAAGGCTTCTGGTTTAAAGTGCACTTATTTCAACACATGAGGCCTGACTGGTAAGGCAGATGAGCTGAGAGCATGGACTGGCTCTTGTTATGGCTATCCCAGAACAGAAACAGGGCTGAGAGAAGAGCAGGACTGGCAGCCCAATGTTTCTGGATACAGAAGCTACAGGCATGACAGAAGTACAGGTAAGCAAGGAGGGGGAGTTGCCCTTTGGATAGTGAGGATATTCTTAAGGGGTCATTAAAATAGGTCATATGGTTAGAACTTAGAAACAAGAAGGGGACGGTCACTGTGTTGGGACTGTATTATAGACCCCCAAATAGCCAGTAGGTACTAGAGGAGCAGATGTGTAGAGAGATTACAGATACCTGTAGGAATAACAGTAGTATTGGTTGGAAATTTTAATTTCCCCTGTATTTACTGGGCCACCCAAAGTGTAAAAAGCCCAGACAAGGTGTAATTTGTCAAATGTGCCCAAGAAAGTTTCCTAAATCAATATGTAGAAGGCCCTACTCAGGAGGATGCAACACTGGATCACCTCTTGGGAAACAAGGTCAGGCAAGTGACTGAAGTGTCAGTCAGAGAATACTTTGGGTCCAGAGACCATAACTGTCTTAGTTTTAACATAGTTATGGAAAAAGATAGGACAGGTCCACAGGTTAAGATGCTAAACTGGAGCAGGGCCAATTTTGGGGCCATTAGACAGGATCTAGAGAGGTTGATTGGGTGAGTCTGTTTGAAGGAAAAGGAACTACTGGCAAATGGGAGGCTTTTAAAAATGTGGTATCAAGAGTCCAGACATAGTATGTCCCTGTTAGGGTGAAGAGAAAAGTTAACAGGTTTAGGGATCCCTGGCTGATAAAGGATTATTGAGGTTCTGGTCAGGAAAAAGAAAGCATACATTGGGTTTGAGCCATTGGGCTCAAGTGAATCCCTAGATGACTATTAAAAAGGTAGGAGCTCACTTAAGAGGGAAATCAGAAGAGTAAAAAGAGGGTATGAGATGGATCTGCCAGATAAGGTTAAAAATAATCCCAAGAGGTTCTATAGCTATATTAAGAAGGTGACTAGGGAGAGAATAGGTTATCTATAGGGACTTTAGTAAGGCCTTTGACAAGGTCCCATATGGCAAGCTAGTCATGAAGGTTAGGTTGCATGGGATCCACGGACAGCTAGCTAATTGGATTCAAAATTGGCTCGATGGTAGGAAGCAGAGAGTGATGGTTGAAGAGTGATGGTTGAAGGTTGTTTCTTGGAATGGAGGCCTATGACTAGTGGTGTGCCACAGGGGTCAGTGCTGGGACCTTTGTTATTTACATAAATGATCTGGATGTACAAGGCATGATTAATAAGTTTGTGGATGATACAAAATTAGGAGGTATAGTTGATAACGTGCAAGATTATCAAAAATTGCAAAGGGATCTTGATCAGATGGGGAAGTGGGCTGAGGATTGACAAATGCAATTCAATACAGATAAGTGTGAGGTGTTGCACTTCGGAAAGTCAAACCAAGGTGGGACTTATACAGTAACTGTACAAGGTCTTGAGGAGTGTTGTGGGACAGAGGGACTTAGAAGTACAAGTACATAGTTTGTTGAAAGCGATGTCACAGATAGAAAAGGTGGTGAAGAGGGCATTTAGCATGCTGGCCTTCATCAGTCGAAGCACTGAGTATAGGAGTTGAGAGATTGTTATAGTTAAGTCATTGGTGAGGCTGCACTTGGAATACTGTATAGTTTTGGTCACCCTGTTATAGAAAAGACGTAGTTAAATTGGAAACTGCAAAGAAGATTTATGAGGATGTTGCCAGGGCTAGTAGGCCTGAGTTATAGGGAGAGGTTGGCCAGGATAGGACTTCATACCACGGAACATAGGAGAATGAGGGGTGACCTTACTGAGGTGTATAAAATCATAAGGGACATAGATAGGATGAATGCATATAGTCTTTTTCTCAGGGATGGGGAATTGAAAACTAGAGGGCATAGGTTTAAGGTGAGAGGGGGGAAAGATTTAAGAAGGACCTGAGGGGCAACTTCTTCACGCAGAGAGTGGTGCGTATATGGAATAGGCTGCCAGAGAAAGTGCTTGAGGCAGGTACAATAGCAACATTTTTTAAAAAAAAAAAAAAAACATTTGGATAGGTGCATGGATGGGAAGGGTTCAGAGGGATATGGGCCAAATGCGGGCAGTTGGAACTAGCCGAGTGAGCACCATGGTCAGCATGGACCAGTTTGGGCAAAAGGCCTGTTCCCATGCTATATTACTCATGACTCTGTCATAATGTGGTTGATTTAACCCCAGTGAGGTAAGGTTACTAAAACTGAGTGATCTGTTCAGCCTGTTCTAATAGGATCTGTGGCTTGATTGCCAACTGACTGTCAACATCACCAATACACCTGGTTTATTTCCTCATGCTCCTTCTAGGTTGTTACAAGGCATATGGATATAACCCTAACCCATAGCTGCACTAAGCAGGTCACTTGTGCTGCCTCACTGTCACTGCCCCAACCTCCACATCACCATTTCCCATGGCTTCTAACACTCCAGAACTGTGGGATATGCAATGTCTTGCTTTTCTCATATATAGACCTAACTCTGAACATCTATAAGGCAATCTAGCAATTTCTATTACCAGAAAGAGGTTTGCTGAAGCCGGATCATTAAGCATATTAGAGGCGGAGAGATTTTTTTAATCAGTAAGGGAATCAAGGGTTGTGAGGAAAAGTCAGTTAAGATTAGGGATATCAAATCAGCCATCATTGAATGGCAGGGCAGAATGGGCTGAATGGCCTATATTCTGTTCCCACATTTGATAGTTTTAAAGGGCCATTACTCCATGTAGAACTTCCCCTCCCTGGAGGTAGTGAGAGAGGTGGCAGGATGGGGAAGTAATTGGATGAGTTGATGCTGACAAGATGCCCCTTTCTGATCACCTCAAGTGGTGGGTAAGAATGGCCACTGGGGACGTTCTCAAATCAGTTAAGACCTTTAATTGTCAATTTATGACCTTTCCTGGTGACCCACCTTCCTTGCAGGAGAGAAAAGTGACTGGTTTCTTGACTGGGCAATTGGAGAAGTAAGAGAAAAAGACCAAACCTTTTCACCGCTGGATCACCCAAAGAGTGGGGTCTTGATTGACAGGTCTTTGGGACCAGAAGCTGCTGGTCTCTAACTGGGTCAGCAGCTTTTGGTGAGTCAGGATTCCCACTGTTAATGGCTGGCCTAGGCCAAGGAGCTCTCTGCTTGACTCTTAGCAACCTGACAGGTGCATGATACGCCGTGTTTTCTTGACATTGGAGATAGTGGTTAGGAGTTAGTCAACACCTAACACCTCTACCCGGACACTTAGTCTTGTTGAGGGAATATCTCCGAACAAGTTGGTTGGTGATCTGGGTATGTGCCACTCTGCTGCAGTGATACAAAAAAACTGGAGAAAGGGGGTAGCATCTGTGGAGAAAGAAACAGGAATAACATTTCAAGTTCTGAAGAAGACTGATATCAGACCTGAAACGTTAACTCTGTTTCTATTTCCACAGATGCTGCCAGACCTGCGGAGCTTCTCCAGCAGTTTCTATTTTTGTTTCAGATCTCCAGCATTTGCAGTATTTTACTTGCTGGGACATTCAACTATTCCATTCAATCTGACCCTGCCAAGACAGTATTGTGGATAGGGGCTCGCTTCTGCAAACTTGCTGTGTCTGAGGGTTCTGGTACAAGCACCACTGGGGGATCTCCAGGAATGTTACTCTAGAGGGCTGTGGAAACAAAGGTTCAAGTGTTTGGATAGGAATGGGGGCTTACTACAATATGGCCAACACAAAAGGTCTGCTGCACCATTGACAAAAGCATCTAGGTTTCACATACACATTGTGTGCTGTGCACAGCTCAGTAATCAAGTGGATTGCCCATAGAGAGTGAGAAGATTAATGACTGTTTCAGAAAACTAGTCAATAATATCCTCTGGTACCAGGACATTGATAAGTTTCTTCCTCTATTCATTCATGGGATATGTGCATCACTGGCTAAATCACCATTTATTGCCCATCCCAAATGCCTGATGGGCAGTTAAGAGTCAACCACATTGCTGTGGGTCTGGAGTCACATATGGGCCACACTTCATAAGGACAGTCGCTGTCCTTCCCTAAAGGAGACCAGATGAGATGTTAACAGCAGTGGTTACATGGTCACCATTAGATCAACTTCTCATTCCAGATTTTTATTGTTTCAGATTTCACCATTTGCTACGGTGGGATTCAAACCCATGTTCCCAGAGCATTAGCCTGGGCTTCAGCGTTGCTAGTCCAGTGACATTATCACTACACCACCATCTCCCCATTCTGTTAACAGTATTCAGAATTTCCTGAATTGTGCAAATTAGTACCCTGATATTTTGGAAAGTTTCTGTGCAGTCTATATTTGCAAATGAATCCTGGTATAATCAATTCATAGCAGAATATCAGAAGTAGGTTTGAGTGCCTTTTTGAGACTTGCTATTAAAACATTCAAATCAACCTCCAGTTGCTCAATAGTTATTCGATAAAGTCACTCTTATTCCATGTCTTTCAGTGTTGACGTCTCTTTTCTCCAAATTCTTAGGCAGATACAGTGCTTCTGAAGTGAAAACTACAGATGCCACTGTTAAAAGGAAACATTTATTCTGAAGCAATGACTTTATTGTGTTGAAGACCTAAACACACAATTGTTTAATTTGCAATATTTCAATAATTACACATTTAATTAAAATAGAGCTGCCAAATGGTTAAGATTCAACATTAAATGAGGCCAAAGTATTAGGTCAGTAAACAGGATCTTAAATAAAGACAAAGGTTTACTTTCCGTTTCGTATTCTGTGGATGCATACATCTATGCTTTTAACTCCTACAAGGATTCATTTCAGCATTAACTAACCCTGTATTCATCAGTTCTCATTAAGTTTATACCACATTCTGACAATTTGTGTCACTGGGTTAGTTTCCATTTGATATTGAGAGTCGCTCAATGCAGAAAGTAGCATCTAACAGGCAGGAAAAAGCTATGGAACAGTATATACACACATCATGAATGAGAAACAAAGTTAATGAATATGAACACTAAAAATATTTATATGTGCTTTGGAGGACTGGGCTGAAATTCATCTTTGGCTGGGTGTAAAATGGGCAGCTGATTCACCAGTGACAATGTTGCAATCTTTCCAAAGTTGAATTTCATCCTCTTGAACTTTACTGAGGTGCCAATAATCTCTGAAATAACTTACTAGATTCTACCAACATCTCTATTCCACACGATTACTGACAAACCTTGGTTTACTTTGATACTACCTTAGTAACTGTGTTGTATTTGTCAATAAGGGAACACTTGTTTGCAACACAGAATTCGAACGTACTTTAAATGCAGAATGAACATATATTAATTTCAATATTTTAAGTCTGTGCAATTTATCTACAGGACAGAAATTCCTGCTAAATCGTTGAGTTTAAATTTGTGAAGTTTGTTACCTGCCTGTTCTCTTGAACAGGAAAATGCTGTAACTGTTTGTGAAATCCCAGTTGAAATGCCCTGCAGATGTTGGAGTGTCAGAACAGTTAACTCTGGGAGAGCTTTTCCATGAAAAACCCTCTCCAATCCTTACAAGTATAAGTAGGACATTTTGAAAGTGGTATGCTGTGTTCTACCATTTTCTCTGGAACAATTTCCTAAAGCTACTGCGTTACCACACGTGCCAGGTATAAAATTCTCCATTCGTACGAGTGGAAACGGGATGCATTTTTTGGAGTTTGTGATCCATGCATGAAGGACGGACTCAATTCAACAGAAGCTGTGTTTTATCGTGACTCTGAGTATGGTAGGCCATAGTCTGTTTGAGCATTGTTACCATTCCAGTGATTTTCATTCACCGTGGGTGCTGTTCGCTTTCACAAACACTCCTTAGAGACAAGAGTCAAACTTGGGTGAAAACTACATTACGCTGCACTGTGTAGTTCCACAGCAATCTCTTATTAGTGCCATTCCCACTTTGGTAATTGACGGTTTGATTGCTGGGGGTTCAGGAACCACAGGCTTCCCTGTTGGAGACTCTGTAACAATGAAGTAATGATTATCTGATCAGTGGCATATTGCTTCAGCTATGCAATCATGTAGAGTGCATGAAAATGTACACACCAAAATCTACAGTCCTTTTGCCACATTCCCACAATAGGTTTGGTGGGAATGCTGCAGAAAGATCACACATTGGATCAGACATTTATAGCCATTTACAACACACGAGCCCATTAGGCTCATTGTGCCAATAAACATCTGCTGCATTAATCCCATCTTCCAACCCTTGGCCCACAGACCTAGAGGCTACGGCAACACAAATGAATATCTAAATACTGCTTCAATGTTATGAGAGTTTCTGTCTCATTCACCCTTTCAGGTGGTGAGTTCCAGACTCTCTCCACCCTCTGGGTGAAAGGAATTCTCCTCAACTCTCCTCTGAACCTTTGACCGCTTACCTCAAATCTACCCCCTTTGCCCCCCTTACTGCTCCCTCTACTAATGGAGAAATTGCCTTTCTATCCATTTGGACAGAACTCTGCTAGTCACACTCTACCAACCTGGAAATGCCCTGAATGCCTCCGCTCTGTGCTTCCTGTTCATTAACCAATTCTGTATTCATGTTAATAAATCAACCCCAAATCCATGAGCCCCTATCCTGCTCATTAACGTTCACTGTGTCACCTTAGGGAAGTGCTTTTTGGAAATTTAAGTATGTTTACCTGCCGTACTAGCTACATCCTTCAAAATCAATTTGTCAAACATAATTTCCCTCTTGTTCACTTTATCTTATCATATTATTATTTTAAAAGTGCTTTGTTCGGACTTCCTAATAGACTCCAGCACTTCCCTGTGTTCAATATCAGGCTGATTGGCCTGTAGTTCTCCATTTTCTGTCTGCCCCCCTTTCTAGAAACACAGTGCTACATTTGCTAACGTCCAGCCTACTGGGAACATTTCAGGATCTTGAGAAGTTTGGAAGCTTATAACCACTGCATCCACCGTCTCCGCAGCTACCTCATTTAGAACCCCAGGATGTAGAATTGGATCCTGTGGATATTTTGACTTTTGCTCCTTTAAGTTTCCTCAGTACCTTTTCACTATTGATACAAATGACCAGAAGTTCCTTGCTCTAGTTAGTTCAAGTACAGCACTTGCTATGACCTACCTGAAGGTACCTTAGGTAGATTTTTCAGTGGCCGTAACTTTGATTGGAGAAACTCTTCCATTTCTTTGTCCTCTTCTCTTTCCCTGCAGAAAACAAGTCATTTTTTTTTACCCTTCTCACCAAAGATTAGATCATTTCTAGTTGTTTCTGTGATGAATTTCTGTTTATTCAGCTGCAGAATATTAGCAACAGTGAATGTAATAAAGTTTGCTGTTCCTTTCTGTTTTTAAATGGGCATCACTGGCTGGGTCAGCATTTATTGCCTGTCGCCAGTTGTCTTTGAGAAGGTGTTGGTGATCTGCCTTCTTGAACCACTCTATTGGCTGTAGGTAGCCCCACAATTGCTGTTAGGGAGTGCATTCCAGGATTGTGACCCAGCCACGGTGAAGAAACAGCGATATATTTCCAAGTCAGGACGGTGAGTGGCTTGGAGGGGAACTTGCAGGGGGTGGTGTTCCTGTGTATCTGCTGCCCTTGTCCTTCTAGGAAATGGTCCCGGCTTTGGAAGGTGCTGCCTAAGGACCTTTGGTGAATTTCTGCAGTGCACCTTGTAGATGATGCACACTAAATGTTAGATTTCAGCTTCTAAAGACTTAATTATAAATTACTTGAGAGTAATAAACATTGTCCCCTACTCTTCCCATTGCTTGCAGTCCCCCAAAGTCATGTAAATGCTGTGATAGTGTCCTGCATTAAGTTCAGTCCCTACATAGCCAGCAACATGCACTGTCCTGATAATCCAACTTCCTAGTATCTGACCAGTCTTACAAACTACGGTCTTCCCATTGTGCACAGAGTGTAGTATATTGCAATACCTATCGGTTGTTTATCACACAGAACATAATCACCACGTGACAGACAGCTAATAATTTTATTTTTGTGTCTCATTTTGGGGACTTTTGTTCAATGATAGTTGACGAATTGTTTTAAGATTGAATGTGTTTGAATTATTTTTTTCCAGTATTGAGAAGTCCAGCTGAATGGCTAAATCCCATGTTACAGACTATGGTATTGTTTAGATTGTTACCCTACACAATTTTTATTGGGTTCAGCCTCATAGGCCATTCATAAAGTGAGTCCTCACTGTCTGTTCCTGGGAATTTGACAAAATGCTGGAGAAGCAGCAGAGCTGTAGATTGAACCAAATGCTCAGATCTTGTAATAAAACTGCATTGACCTAATGTGAATTGTGGATAAAGTGGACCATATCAAAAAAAGATTCAAGTATTTATTGTGAATAAAAATATTCAAACCAACATTCTTCAGAAGTTCTACAAATTTCATAGAATCCCTACAGTGTGGAAGCAGACCATTTGGCCCATCGAGTCCACACCGACCCTCCAAAGAGTATCCCCCTACTCTATCCCCATAACCCTGCATTTCCCATGGTTAATCCACCTACCCTGCACATCCCTGGACAATTTCCCACAGCCAACCCACCTAACATGTACATCTTTGGACATTGGTAGGAAACTGGAGCACCTGGAGGAAACCCACACAGACACAGGGAGAATGTGCAAACTCCACACAGACAGTCGCCCGAGGCTGGAATCGAACCCAAGTCCCTGGTGCTGTGAAGCTGCAGTTCCAACCACTGAGCCACCGTGCTGCTCCTACAAATGTATTCATATTTCATGAATAAAATTTAAAACCATAAAGCTCCAATCAATAATGATCTGATACGCCATGCCAACAGGTGAATAACATGCTTCATATTGCAACGAAGCACTTCTGTGCATTTCAATTAATGCTGCTGTTCCATCTAAGTTACAAATGCCAGCTGCATGAATCAATGTTCTTAAACTGTTAAAATGTACAATGTTATCTCTCAGGTCATTGAGAAGAACTGAAGCTCTATTACTCATCAGTTATTTTCTTTTAGTATCAGCCTCCCTGTCAAGAGAGGGGACAAAACCAAACAAGATAGAAAACAGATCACAGACAACAAACTCTGTAATCCTCTACTGTTTTACCTTAATCTCTCCACTTCTGCATCCTCCACCAGAAAGTCCCTTTTTTGCACTAATTTCTGGATTTTGTGGATAAGTACATCCTCTTTTTGCTTGTCTTCTGTGCATTTTTCCTTCTCTGTAATAAATATTGTTTGCAAAATAAAGTCAAGACCGTTTCAATCCTGCACTTTAACAACTGCTTCAGCTCACCGTGAGGGAGTTCTGATAATGACACTGAGTGGCAAGGTCCACAAATTGAGACCAGATTGTAGCTGGACCACGTGTGAGCTGAACTTCTCAAACAAATCACACAGGAGTCAGCCTTACCCCTCGTCAGGTGGAGCTGTCAACAGAATCCATCTGATTTACACCTCACCCGAATTTAATTATTTCAAGTATTTACTGTTGCAAATAGAGGCTTCAATTATTTCTCCTATGAACCCATCTTCTCAGAATCTTCCTTCTCAGTTGAAGCTAGGGAGTAAAGATTGTACAATTATACAGTTTACACACAAATAGGTTGACTGCATTATCATTGTAATTGCCTCAGCAATAAAGGATCATAGTAAAAATAGGGTGCGAAGTGCAGTACTCAGTTTTAAAATTACTACTGTCCCATTTTCATCCAAGTGACCAACTGTATAGGAACAGGAGTAGGCCATTCAGCCCCTCGAGCCTATTCCACCATTCAATGAAATCTTGGTTGACCTGTGGCCTATATGGGCCTTCACATATCTCTCAACACCTTTGCTTAAAAAAAATCTGTTAAAAACATTTGTCATATCTACCTTAAGTGAAATGCTTAACAAATTGTTTAAGGTGCAGAGATGAACTTTAGCAGAGTGATGTCAAATGTGAGAGATTAGGGAGAATTTCCATGTTCCTGATGATTATATCTGCAGGAAGTGTGTTTGGATATGAATCCTATCGGACTGCATGGTTCAGTTGAAGTGGCAGTTAGGGACAATGAGGAATTTACAGGAACCGGGAATGTGATGGGTGGCAGTTTCAGGAAAGTAGAAAAACCACAGATACAGTCACTTAGATGGGTTACCTCTAGGAGAGGTAGGCAGGTAGTACAACAGTTTCCATTGGCTATCCCCATCTCAAACAGGTATGTGTTATGGATACTGTAGGTGGGGGCGAGCGATGGCCTCTCAGTATAGGGAGTATAGGACTGACAGCCATGCGTCTGGTACTGTGACTGGCTCTACTGCAACAAAGGATATGTCAGGTTCCAAGCAATCAATTGTAATAGAGGATTCTCTAGTCTGGAGCACAAACAGGCCTTTCTGCGACCGACAGCAAGACATCAGAATGGTGTGTTGCCTCTCTGGTGCTAGGGTCAAGGGTATCTCGGAGAGGGTGCAGAATATTCTCAAAGGGGAGAGTGACCAGCAGCAGGTAGTTGTACATGTTAGTACCAATAACAGGGGAAGAGAAAGGGACCAGGTTTTGCACAGAGAATACAGGAAATTAGGCAGGAGGTTAAAAAGCAGGACCTCAAAGGTAGTAATAACTGATTACTCCTGGTGCCATGCACTGGTGAGAGTAGGAATGCAGATGATTGCGTGGCTGAGAAACTGGTGCATGGGACAGGGATTCACATCTTTGGATCATTGGGATCTCTTCCGGCATAGAAATGACCTGTGTAAGACAGGTTGCACCTGAATTGGAAGGAGACTGATATTCTGGTGAGGAGATTTGCCAGTGCTACTCAGGATGCTTTATACTAGTAAAAGTCAGGGCGGTTGGGATACAAAGTGATAGTGAGAAAAGAGATGTCTGAGGTTGGTACAATAGAGAAGAGGAGCAACTTAAGTAGTCAAGGCAGGCAAGAGCAAGGCAGAGAATGAGGTAAGACTGAAATTAAATTGGATTTATTTCAATGCAAGAGGTAAAGCAAATGAACTCAGGGTATGATTGGGAACATGGGACTGGGATATCATAGCAATTACAGATAGGTGGCTTAGAGAGGGGCAGGACTGGCAGCTTAATGTTCCAGGATATAGGTGCTATAGGAAAGATAGAAGTGGGGGGGGGGGGGCAAGAGTAGGATGCCATTTTTGGTCAAGGATAACATTACAGTTGCACTTAGGGAGGATATTCCTGGGAGCACATCCAGTGAAGTTATATGGGTGGAACTGAGAAATCAGAAAGGGATGATCACCTTGGTGGGATTGTACCATAGCCCCCCTAATGGTTGGGAATTTTAACTTCTAAAACATAAACTGGGAGTGCCACACTTTTAAGGACTTGGATGCAGAGGAATTTGTTAAGCGTATCCACGTGTGAGGTGCTGGAAGACAGGAAGTTGGCTAATGCGGTGCCATTATTTAAGAAAGGTGGTAAGGAAAAGCCAGGGAACTATAGACCGGTGAGCCTTACGTCAGTGGTGGATAAATTGTTGGAGGGGATTCTGAGAAACAGGATTTACATGCATTTGAAAAGACAAGAATTGATTAGGGATGGTCAACATGGCTTTGTGCATACAAAATTGAGTCTCACTATCGTGAATGAGCTTTTTGAAGAAGTAACAAACAGTTTTGATGAAGGTAGAGTAGTAGACATTGCCTATATGGACTTCAGCAAGGCATTCAACAAGGTTTCACATGGTAGACTGCTTAGTAAGGTTAGATCACATGGAATCCAGGGGGAACAAGCCATTGGATACAAAATTGGCTCAAAGGTAGGAGATAGAGGGTTGCTTTTCAGACTGAAGACCTGTGACCAGCAGTGTGCCACAAGGATCAGTGCTGAGTCCACTGCTTTTCATCATTCATATAAAAAATTTGGAGGTGACTATAGGAGATATGGCTAGCAAGTTTGCAAATGACAGCTAAATAGGTAGTGTAGTGGACAGTGAAGGAGGTTATCTCAGAGTACAATGGGACCTTGATCAGATAGGCCAATGGGCCGAGGAGTGGCAGATGGAGTTTAATTTAAATAAATGTGAGGTGTTGCATTTTGGAAAGGCAAATCAGGGCAGGACTTATACACTTAATGGTAAGGTTTGGGGAGTGTTACTGAACAAAGAGACCTTGGAGTGCAGGTTCATAGTTCCTTGACAGTGGAGTCGCAGGTAGACTGGATAGTGAAGAAGGCATTTGGTATGCTTGTCTTTATTTGTCAGTGCATTGAGTATAAGAGTTAAGAGGTTATATTGCGGCTGTACAGGACGTTAGTTAAGCCACTTATAGAATACTGTGTTCAGTTCTCATCTCCCTGCTATAGGAAGGATGTTGTGAAACTTGAAAGGGTTCAGAAAAGATTTACAAGGATGTTGCCAGGGTTGGAGGGGTTGAGTTATAGGGAGAGGCTGAATAGGCTGGGGCTATTTTCCCTGGAGCATCGGAAGCTGAGGGGTGACCTTCTAGAGGTTTACAAAATCATGAGGAGCATGGATAGGGTGAATGGCCAAGGTCTTTTTTCCCAGGTTAGGGGAGTCCAAAACTAGAGGGCATGGGTATAAGGTGAGGGGAAAGATTTAAAAAGGACCTGACGGGCAACGTTTTCACACAGAGGGTGGTGCGTGTATGGAATGAGCTGCCAGAGGAATTGGTGGAGGCTGGTACAATTACAACATTTAAAAGGCATCTGGTATATGAATTGGAAGGGTTTAGAGGGATATGGGCCAAATGCTGGCAAATGGGACTAGATCAGTTTAGGATATTTGGTCAGCATGGATGAGTTGGACCAAAGGGTCTGTTTCTGTGCTGTATGACTCTATGACTACAGCTGTTTCATTGTACAGAACTTGAATAATGCTGAGAAAAAAAGAAAAGCATTTTTTATCTTGCACTCATCGGGACAATTTGCAAGAAATACCGAAGTATACAGTAACGACAACACTTGATAACTAACCATCACTCTTTTCTCATTTTCTGAAAAATGGTGTTTGCCTTTATTTTGGCATTCTTGCAAAGTGCACTGATGAGTGCAAAATGAAAAGCTTCAATGAAATGCTGAAATGAGGGGAACCATCATTGTTCGAGACTAGGGCGTCTTTTCTGGGAGACACAAAGACCTCCACGCTATAAGTGAATTTGCATCATACTGCATAAAATCCAAAAGAACTGCGCGAGCTGTAAATCAGAAACAAAAACAGAAATTGCTGGAAAAGCTCAGCAGGTCGGGCAGAACCTGTGAAGAAAAGATCAGTGTTAACATTTCGGGTCCGGTTCTGAGCGAGGGTCACCAGACCCAAAACGTTAACTCTGACTTTTTTTCTTCACAGATGCTGCCAGACCTGAGTTTCTCCAGAAGTTTCTGTTCTTGTTTGTTTTGGAACAGAACAAATTTTGGCTTCTGCCTCTTCTCCTTTCTAATGGGGCATGGCTAACTCTCAGTTCGTGGGTAAAAACCCCCTGCAGGCTTCCGTGAAAACTGCAGTCGGGTCCTCAGTTAAGATGCTGTAGCCATGGAACAGTACAGCAGGGGAATGGGCCCTTCAGCCCATGATATTGTCCCTTCTGCCTGCCCTTGGTCCATATCCCTCCATTCCTTGCATATTCACGTGCTTATCTAAATGCCCCTATCACATCTGCCTCCACCACCACCACTAGCAGCACGTTCCAGACTTCTACCACTCTCTATGTAAAGAACCTGCCCCGCACATCTCCTTTGAACTTCCTTCCCTCACCTTAAATGTATAAAGAAGGAGCCCGCCAGTCTTATCCTTGCCTTTTCGATGGAGCAGTTTAAAGACCTGAACAGTGAGAACCTACAGCTTTGTTAACAGAAAGGTAACTATCTCCCGCAATCCGGAGTATCCAACTGCTGGGTTACAACAGCCCCACAGTCACACTGAAGGGCTAATGGCTACATGTTTCTTGCACTCGATACAAGTTATAGGTCACTCATCGAGTTAACTGTCTGACTGGAAACAAATGAATTATAGTATCAGCTTGAGCACAAAGCATGTGACAGTGAATCAGCAGAACACATTACATCCCCTTCATTAATTTCAAACCTAAATCAGGCATAAGACAGGCTGCGGATAAATTCTTGTGTCTTACCTCTTAAGATCGATTTCACTGCCATTGTCTTAGTGAATGGCTTTAATTGGGCAATTTTCTCTAGAACATATTAAACCAGCTGTGTTTTTGTGAATTTTTACTCAATTCAGATTACACT